TTATTTTAGTAATCCAATGTTTTATTTTAGTAATCCAATGTTTTATTTTAGTAATCCAATGTTTTATTTTAGTAATCTAATGTTTTATTTTAGTAATCCAATGTTTTATTTTAGTAATCTAATGTTTTATTTTAGTAATCCAATGTTTTATTTTAGTAATCCAATGTTTTATTTTAGTAATCCAATGTTTTATTTTAGTAATCCAATGTTTTATTTTAGTAATCTAATGTTTTATTTTAGTAATCCAATGTTTTATTTTAGTAATCTAATGTTTTATTTTAGTAATCCAATGTTTTATTTTAGTAATCCAATGTTTTATTTTAGTAATCCAATGTTTTATTTTAGTAATCCAATGTTTTATTTTAGTAATCTAATGTTTTATTTTAGTAATCCAATGTTTTATTTTAGTAATCTAATGTTTTATTTTAGTAATCCAATGTTTTATTTTAGTAATCCAATGTTTTATTTTAGTAATCCAATGTTTTATTTTAGTAATCCAATGTTTTATTTTAGTAATCTAATGTTTTATTTTAGTAATCCAATGTTTTATTTTAGTAATCTAATGTTTTATTTTAGTAATCCAATGTTTTATTTTAGTAATCCAATGTTTTATTTTAGTAATCCAATGTTTTATTTTAGTAATCCAATGTTTTATTTTAGTAATCTAATGTTTTATTTTAGTAATCCAATGTTTTATTTTAGTCATCCAATGTTTTATTTTAGTAATCCAATGTTTTATTTTAGTAATCCAATGTTTTATTTTAGTAATCCAGTGTTTTATTTTAGTAATCCAATGTTTTATTTTAGTAATCTAATGTTTTATTTTAGTAATCTAATGTTTTATTTTAGTAAGTCTCAGATCGCAGCATAGTCAGTGTCTAGTTTATTAATCCAGTGTTTTATTTTAGTAAGTCTCACGTCGCAGCACAGTCAGAGTCTAGTTTATTAATCCAATGTTTTATTTTAGTAAGTCCACGTCGCAGCACAGTCAGAGTCTAGTTTATTAATCCAATGTTTTATTCTAGTAAGTCTAAGACCGCAGGACAGTCAGTGTCTAGTATTAATCCAATGTTTTATTCTAGTAAGTGTCAGATCGCAGAACAGTTTGCTACAGAATATCCAGGGATGTCACTTCATGAACATCTATCTCAGTTCTCACTGCCAACACCACTTGGAGAACATGCCAGTCCGCTCTGGTCACCACAACAGAAGGTGATTTTTCTCTATTATTATTTCTTTCTGTCTTTATTAATTATTGTGTGAATAAGTTGCCCTTTACCTACTTGAGCAGGCTTGAAAACACTACTCACTTTTGTTTTTATAATCACAAAATGTGGTCAGGCTATAAGCATTTACCTGTCTTACTTTATTATTTTGTTATGCTGCAAAGGGGGAAAATTGTATTTCTATGGCTCTCTTAAAAACTTAACATTATTTTCCACGTTTAAGATTGATCAAGTTCAACGAGTGATATGGATGCTGAAACAACATCTGCTTATTCAGGTAAAACATCGAATAGATTGATTTCGTGCGATGGCAGATGACATCGTGAAAGAATAATCTTCTTTCATTATATAATCATCTTGTATTTGACATGTTTTAAAAAAAAGTTTTCTATCTATTGTTTTAGCTTCACATGTATATCTATCTTATTCCTGGCAAGTCAAGTGAAATGTTTTCTAATGAGGAAACGTTTTCTATCTATTGTTTTAGCTCCACATGTATATCTATCTTATTCCTGGCAAGTCAAGTGAAATGTTTTCTAATGAAGAAAATTTGTCTTCAGATCTACACTCTGAGATATCCGACCCAGATGATCTCAAGCTCTTTACAAGGTATTGATCGCATCATGCATGCTACGAACCTGATAATCACCACTTCAGTCACATTGTCGGCCCTCAGTTCAATCTATTTGTGTGCATACAAAACCAAACTCTAATAGTCTCCATTGTATTTTTTAGACTGTGTCGTTACTTTAGTGGCAATCATCATTTAGAAGAGATAATGTATTATGAAAATTTACGAAGAAATCAACTTCTGACATTGCTGGAGAAGTTTCGTAAAGTTTTGTTCATTTGTCAGCATGAGGATCCTGCAACTGTTTATCATACTCCCCAACTCTAGTGTATGGGTATGTGGTATGCAATCTAGTATACTAACAGGACTCTGGTGAGGGAAGTTTACAATTGATCCTCCCAAATGGAAAGGTTCTCTCACATATGCCGAAAATCCACCTGAGACTCAAAGCACGCAGTTAAAATATTTTAAAGAATTAAACAACTTACGATGGTTTATATGTGCTCCAACTCAATGTTTGTACGAAAGTCAGCCGTGTAAGTTAATTGGCACATCATCTTGTGTAAAAATAAAATTTACCAATCTTCCACTACAACAAAGATTCGATGCAAAATACAAACTTTCCACCCGGCATTAAAAAATGGGCAAGAAAACGACTAAAAAGTAAAATTTATTGCCTTAACTTTTTGCCTTCTTTTTCATTCAAGCTAACTGTTTTGGTGCAAGAATTGCTTTTCGACAATTTTGAGAACGTTTCAGAAAGTTTGGAGTGATTTGTGGCACTCTTTGAATTTTGAGGAAAATTTCCTGTGGTCCCCCTTTGGTCAGCCGTATGCCTGTGGTCCCCCCTTTGCATTTGACCAAAATTTTTTAAAACAGGTTTCTAAGTCAAACTTTGGTAGAAATTTTCTGACGGTTAAGCATAATAGAATCTATAATAAAATACGGATAAGGATTCATTTGCATAAGTCATCTCAAAATGTGTTCTAAAATTCTCCTGAGACCTGAGCCCAAACTTTCTGCATCAACATGCGTTTTGAACCGTTCTATTGCGATATGTTGTTTTGTGTTGTATTCTTAAAATTTAGCAATTTTTAAAGGGCTCGCAGTAATTGGTGTATACTGTTGCGGTGACCCTGCCACTTGTTTGTTGAAAGTGACATCGACAACCTCAACTCTTGGGCCGCACTCAATGGGTGGACGTTCAATGATACGAAATGTAAGTGTCATGCATGCAGCGCGAGGAGAAAAACCTTCAAACTATCCATACGCTATGAATGGCTCAATATTTGATGCCGTGAAGCAGGAAAAAACCTTCAAACTATCCATACGCTATGAATGGCTCAATACTTGACGCCGTGAAGCAGGAGAAAAACCTTCAAACTATCCATACGCTATGAATAGCTCAATACTTGGTGCCGTGAAGCAGGAGAAAAACCTTCAAACTATCCATACGCTATGAATGGCTCAATATTTGATGCCGTGAAGCAGGAAAAAACCTTCAAACTATCCATACGCTATGAATGGCTCAATACTTGACGCCGTGAAGCAGGAGAAAAACCTTCAAACTATCCATACGCTATGAATAGCTCAATACTTGGTGCCGTGAAGCAGGAGAAAAACCTTCAAACTATCCATACGCTATGAATGGCTCAATATTTGATGCCGTGAAGCAGGAAAAAACCTTCAAACTATCCATACGCTATGAATGGCTCAATACTTGACGCCGTGAAGCAGGAGAAAAACCTTCAAACTATCCATACGCTATGAATAGCTCAATACTTGGTGCCGTGAAGCAGGAGAAAAACCTTCAAACTATCCATACGCTATGAATGGCTCAATATTTGATGCCGTGAAGCAGGAAAAAACCTTCAAACTATCCATACGCTATGAATGGCTCAATACTTGACGCCGTGAAGCAGGAGAAAAACCTTCAAACTATCCATACGCTATGAATAGCTCAATACTTG